CAACAAATATTCCACTATCAAGTTAAACTTAATTTTAAAACATTTATGAACACTGCACTCACTAAACATTTGATTGCTAAAATGGATGGAGTTGAACCCTAGCCTAATCCCTCGCCTACACTTACTGAACTTAATTTTTGGTGCAATAAAAACTTATTGCTTATATAACAGTTCCCTCCAAGTTATTAGAGAAGAGAAATAGCCAATTGAACAACGTAAATACTTTTTTGTGTTTTTAGGGTTTGAGGCCTTCACAACAAGAAAAATAAAATAGAAAATTTGAGCATTCTTCTTGAAGACAAGGAATTTGCCAAAAAGAGACGGAAGAATTCCAAAAAACAATGAAGAAACCATTAGAGCATTTTGGACTTTTACTATATATATATTGTCCTTCAAATCATTATTTACTATTCTTCTGCCAGTACGGCTCATATAAAAAAGAATTTGCCAGAAAGAAACTGAGGAATTTGAGAAAACAATGAAGAAACCACGCGCATTTTTTATGTGTGCTATTGTCCTTCATAGCTTTGGGTCCATCAGCACATAGTACGAACCCATTTATTTACTATTAATCTGACAGCAGGGTTCATGTAAGAACTTTTATTGGGCGACAAAATAAGATTGCAGATATTGAGAATAGTAAGGTCATCAAATCACTATTTAAACTGCACTTTGATTCATTTACTTTACCAAACCCTAGTTTCTCCCAGTACTAGCTATACAATGGAGTTCATTAAGCAGCTGTGGAGATGTGTTTGTTTGGTCTTGATCCTTATGTTGGGGACTTGGTCTAGTGAAGCCACTTCTCGTAACCTCCAAGATGCATCAATGTACGAAAGATACGAACAATGGATGGTTCGTTATGGACGCGAATACAATGATGTTAATGAGAAGCAGAAGCGTTTTGAGATATTCAAGAAGAATGTGGCATACATTGAATCCTCTAATAGCGATGTAAACAAATCTTACAAATTAAGTGTTAATCAATTTGCAGACCAAACGAATGAAGAAGTGAAAGCCTCAAGAAATGGATTCAAAGGGCGTGAGTACTCCACAAAGACTACTTCTTTCAAATATGAAAATGTGACAGTAGTACCAGCTACCATGGATTGGAGAAGCAAAGGAGCTGTAACTCCCATGAAAGACCAAGGCCAATGTGGTAAGCCTCTAATTTTTATTTATAAGTTGAAATTATTCTTCTTCTGGAATATTTTCAATTTTTTTGTTCTAGATGCTATTTAATTGCAACAAAACTTATATGTGCAGGAAGCTGTTGGGCTTTTGCAGCAGTGGCAGCTGTTGAAGGAATTACACAGCTTGGAACTGGTAAATTAATCTCTTTATCAGAACAAGAGGTGGTTGATTGTGACACCGAAGACCTTGGATG